AGGCAGAGGAGAATGGCCCAAGAGCTTGGCCCCCGCACCCATGTGGGAGACCAGGATGGAGAGCCAGGTTCCCGGCCGTGGCCTGGCCCAGCCACGGACATTGGAGAGTAAACCAGAGGACAGACCTGCCTCTCCCTCTCTGTCTCTCTGACAAAAAAGAGAAAAAGGGTAGCGAAGAGGCTACAGCTGTGCCTGGCCGGGCCGGATCTCTGCTCACCAGGCTGGAGGCGCAGGTGACGAAGCAGCAGAGCCCAGGCCAGGGGCCCTCTGATGCCCCCATGGCTCGCCAGTGTCTCGGCACGCACGCCTCTGACTGTCCTGTTCACGCAGCTCTGCCGGCTTCTCAGCTGCAGCCCAGCACCAACCACAGTCTGCCCGACGCTCTCCTCGTGCAGAAGCCCAAGCTCGATCTGCCCATGGCGCCTTCTGTCCGGGGCCTCCGCCACTGGACCAGGCCCGCCGTGACACACACGGCTGGGCCCGCAGCACGCGGCCTCCGGAGGCCTGCTCACCCTCAGTGTTCTCCAGCCTTCCCCTAGAGCCGTCAGCACCTGCCGGGCTCCTCCCTTCACGCGCGCTCAGTGCTGGCAGCGCGGCAGGCAGCGCCTGTGGTGCCCACGGCAGTCCCCTCCCCTGCATGAGGACGGCTCCCTGCCTCCCCTGGGCATCACTCCACACCCAGAGCTGCCCTGGAACTCATCAAACACGGCCGTGGTCCTTTGTACCGGGTGACAGGAAAACAATCTTGGCTAAAGAGATGCCCTTGGGGCCGGTGCTGTGGCACAAGGTAATCCTCCGCCTGTGGTGCCAGCAGCCCATATGGACGCCAGTTCTAGTCCCGGCTGCTCCACTTCCGATCCAGCTCTCTGCTGTGGCCTGGGAAAGCAGCGGAAGACGGCCCAGCACTGGGCCCTGCACCCATGGGAGACCCAAGAGTAGCTCCTGGCTCCGGTCGGCTCAGCCGTCTGGGGAGGGAACCAGCAGATAGAAGAGCTCTCTGTCTCTACCTCCAAAAAAAAAAAAAACCAAAAAACCGGAGGCCCCCTCCTGGACTTGGAGCTGACAGAGGCACCCGGGATGAGGGAGAACGCCCTCCTCACCTCACCACCCCGGCCCACACAGACCTCACCTCTCCCTCCTGGAATGCTCTCGCGCCATCTCCCGCCTCTTCTGCCGCTCCCACTCCCGGCGAGCTTTGTCCTGCTCCTCCCGATGCCGCTTCCTGCGCTCGTGCTCCCGCTCCTTCTCCTTCACCCTGGCGTGCTTCCCTGGGGAGGAGCGAGAAGCGTCAGGCGAAGAACCCGACTTCCAACTCAGACCCCAGCGCTCACAGGCGAAGGGGCCGTAATGAGTGACCTGAAGAACCAGTCGTGACCCGGCTCAAGCCGCAAGACGCACACAGCTGGCTGCCGCTGGGGTGGGGAAGACCCGTGGGGCTGAGCTCGGCAGAGCTGACACGCGTCTGAGCCTCCCACTGTCTGTCGAGAACAAGCGAGTCAGACAGCAGCCTCACGAGGGCCGCGGCACAGCTCTCTCCGGGGGCGCGGCCAGCGCTTCACAGCCGCGGGATGAGGTAAACCGACCCCAGCACCCGGTCTCCCGACACCACCAACAGCCCCCTGGTAGCGGCCCAGGATCAGCCTTCTTGCCAGGCCACGCGCATCACTGGACGCGATCAAACACCGTTTTTGGGGGTGTCCCCCCGCCATGCTGAGCGCCGGTACTTCCACACGTAAGGGAACCACCGCGACAACACACTGGGGAGGAACAGGGGAGGCGGGGAGCAGCAGGGCACGTGCAGGGCACGGGCGCTCCCGCGGCAGGTAAGCCTAACCACGCTCTGGAGAAGGCAGCGGCTGGCGGACACAGACATCACACGCGCACGCGTCACCGGAGAAAACAGACGCTCTGTACCCCCTTCGGCTGAGTGGCTGCGATGCCTGCGTTTCTCTTTCCTCTTCTCGTCTTTCCTGTGATGAGCCTTCTCTTTCCGAGACATCTGCTGGGGGGGTTTGATAGCCAAGGAGTCATCCTCTTCTCCCCTGTAACGAGACACAGGCCGGACATCACACCCGGAAACACCGTGGGGAGCGCCAGGCCCGAAGCACGCGGAGCTCAGACAGGCGCACAGCCGGACCCAAACGTCTCTGACACAGGAAGGCCAACTCTGAGCCACGCGCCAGCCTCGGACTCGGAAAGGCGTAAGCGATGAACCGAACAGACGCGCCTCTCGGGGAACGCGCTGGGAGTGGCCTCCGGCCCCGGGGCTCAGACGCCAGCGCCCACGCCAGCGCCTGGGCCTGAGTTCCAGCTCCACCTCCAACTCCGGCCTCTTGCTACCGTGCACCTTGGAAGGCAGGAGGAGGTGAGGGTTCAAGTTATACCCACGTGGGAGACCCTGCTAGACTTGGCCTGCCCCCATTATTTACTTGAAGGCAGCGAGAGACAGGGATCTCGCATCCACCAGTTCACGCCTCACATGCCTGCCAATGGGCGGGACTGGGCCAGGCTGAAGCCAAGACCCCTAAAAGTCAACGAGGTCTCCACAGGAGGCGGCAGGGACCAAGTACTTGAGCTGTCACAGCTGCTTCCCAGGGCCTCACAGGAAGGTGAACTCTGGAGCCGATCCAGGAGTCAAACCCAGGTTCGTCAATGTGGGCTGACCGTCTCCAACACTAGGCTCGATGCCCACTGCTTGGACAGCCATCGGAGCCACCACTGAGACACACGGCGGGCTTACTTGGACGCAGTCTACAAGCAACACTCACTTGACCGATCATTTAAGGAACACGGAGGAGAGGGACAGCCAGGACCTGTGCCAGCACCCACGTGGGATGCTGGCCTTGTAGGTGGCAGCTTACCCTGCCACACCACCACGCCCGTCCCATGCCCCAACACTGCTAAGTGGGGTGAGGTGACAACAGCCTCAAGTGAGGTCACCCGGCGTCGCCCGGGACTCCTCACCTGTCTTCCATGGAGTCCTCCCTCCTGTACGGCGAGTTCCTTATGGTGATCTCCATGCGGTGATCTCTCAGCTCCCCCTCTTCCAGGGAATCCCGCTTAGAGTCCCGGTCATCAGACTAAGAGGCAAAGAGAAACCTAAATGCTACCTTTGAAGACAACCAACCCTGCCCACGTTTCAACAGCCAGCGCTCAGGTACAGCCGAAGCTTTCATTCACATCCCGGGACGCTACAGCTCGGCGCTCTGTGCCGGAGCCGGGCGGCGACACCTACACTCCAGCCACAGGGGCAGCCTCCGGCCAGCACGGCAGGCGCTCATCTGAGCGAACGAGGGCCTTGGGCCCTGTCCCGCAGCGCTCCTCACCCTCTGCTCGCCACCCGCCTCGTCCGAGCTGCTGCCATCTCTGAGGCACCACGCACACCGATGACCCCGAAGACACTCGCGGTAGCGTCCACGCCCTGCCCGCCTTGGCCGCCTTGGCCCGCTGGGGAGGGGCGGGAGGGGCGGCAGTCCGCTGGCCGCGCTCCGGGCCGGGGGTCACTGCAGAGCCCCAGCACGAGCCTCGCGCGCCCTGAGCCCGCGGCGTCTGGTTAATTCTAGCACCGACTCCGGGCTCGCCTGCACGTCGGGGAGCACAAGCAACGCGCGAAGCAGCGGAAAACGAGCGGAAACGCGGCTCCCTACGAGAACCCGCCCAGACGCCGGCTCACGTTTTTCAGGCGCTTGATCTCTGCCTTCTCCTCCTGCTCCTTCCTCCGCTTCTTTTCCTGGAGGATCTCATCTAAGGTCTTCACTTTCCAAGAGTCCTTTTCATCACCCATTGGAGGTAACACGCTGCGAGAGGACCGAGCCGAGCACCCTCAGGGCCCGCGGCCACCCCGCCCGGCCGCCGCCAGCGCCTGGCGCTCAGCGAGCCCGGCCCCGCGCGTCGGCAGAGCCGGCCAGACACGCCGCCCGGCGCGGAGCCCCCGCTCCGAGGCTCGCCCAGGCCTGCCGCCGCCGCGGCCCGACGGTCGCTCGGGGCGCCGCTGGGCGAGGAGCGGGGCTGTCCTTCGCCCCCGGCCTCCCCGGCGCCACCCCGAGGCCCGCCGGGCCCCCAGCCCCAGCCGCCACTCACCACCGCTCGGCCGCCGACCCCGAACCGTGAGGAGAAACAGTTCCCGGCTTGCGCCCGGAGCGTCGTCACTTCCGGAATTGGCGCGCGCTGATGACGCCAGAAGAGCCCCCCCCCGCCTCGGGCGCGGGACTCCATGACGTAAGGCGGGGTCCCTCCAGGGTGTGTGTGGAATCACTTCTCAGGTCGTCGCGCACTGATGACCCTCGAGGGCAGGGCTGACTCTACCGAAGCACGCGGAAGCGGGTGCGCCCTGGCCCTCGGGGCGGCACTTCCGTTTCCGGCGCAGGCTGGTGACGCACGCAGCGGGGCGGCCCTGGCGGCGCGGCCGAGGCGGGAACGCCCCTCGGGCCTCCGCTGACTGAATCTCCGGGGCGCGGGGCCAGTGCCCGCTCGGCGGCGGCCGCGGGAGGACCCGTTCCCCTCACGGGCGGACGCCGCCGTCCAGTCAGGGTCCAGGCAGGACGCGGCGGGAGCCCGCGCACAGCTAGTGACCCACGTCCCGCCAGCGCGACGGAGCCCGCGACGCCGCCATCCCGCGTGGGCGCGGGCTCGTGTCCGGCCGTGCCAGCGCCGGTCTCGCTGCCTGCTCCTGGGGGAGCAGCGCGAGGTGGCCAGTGCTGGCCGCTGGGCTCTGGGCGTGAGCTAGCCGCTGGACGGACACCTCCTCTCAAATAAACCTTAAAAAGTAGTGCCGCGGCCTTAGGTCCCACTGCGCACCTGCAGGGGGGGACAAGGCGCAAACCCGCCTGTTCTCGTTCCCGGAGATGGCGGGGAGGGGCCCCGGGGTCTTCCTGCCTCCCCGAGAGCGCTGAGCTCGCGTACCCGCGCCCCCGCGGCTTCCCTCGCGAAAACCGCATTGTCCTCTCCTCCCCCCAAGCCGGCCCGGGTCACCGAGCAGCCTGGACACAGGGAGAGACAGCCCCGGTCGTACTTGGCATTTATTTACTTTTGAAACAGGTCTGCCCGCCGCGCCCCGGCTGCTTCATTTAGACGAAAGCAGCCAGGGCACCCAGTTAGCAGGGCGCTCACTGCCACAGCTAAGTGCGTCACTAACATCACGTGTTCCCTAGAAAGCACTGAATACTGAAGTAGGTGACGTATAAAAGTCCAGAAATACGATGTGTTTGGTATAAAGCAAATTAATTTGGCTCTCATGTAGACAGTCAGCAGTGTGTCTTCGAGTTTCACCACGTGGGAAGACCCTGGCTGTGGCCCAGGTTGGAGCCAACAGCCCCTCAGGCAGGTCCAGTCACACCTCGGGAGCGGCCAAGCCTGTTTCCGGCCAACGAGAGCAGAGGACGAGACTGAGGCAGGGACGGCTCTCAGCTGCCGGACCCGAGCAGGCCGCAGCTTCCGCGGACGCGGTGGGTCCCAAGGGCTGACAGCCGAGAGGAAGCAGGAGCTGAGCCGTGGGTGCCTGACCCGGAGGGTGCACGCCTGGCTCCCGACTCGGAAAGGAGGGGAACGGGCTCGCGCGTGTGTGCCTCGGGGAAGGAATGCAGCGCTTCGTCCAGCGTCGGTCAACGGCAAGACAAGTGGACTCTGCCTGCGCCCTGCTCACGCTTCGCGGCGCAGGCAGCAGCGGAACGCCGAGGCCTTGGGAAGCATCGCGGACAGATGTGAGAGGCGGTGTCTAGACAGCCCAGGTGTCACGGCGGGGACTTGAAAGGCACTACGAAGCAGGGCTCTACTTCGCTGATACTCTGTACAGGTTTTTTTTCTTAATAAAGTGTTTGATCCCTTTGTTTTTCTCAAGTGAGAGACACATTTTGGATTGCGCGAGATTTTCCTGTTTTCCAGGCAGGCAGGTGACTGGCGACACGGGCCTGCAACCGTCAGAACTGGCTTTTGAGAAGCTTCTATGCGCTCCGTCAGCGGGCGCGTTTGGAAGCCGGAGCTCTGCACCTCTCCCAGCACCGCTATCCGCAAGCAGCTGGCCCGGCCTGGGGGGCTCTCCACGCTCTTTGCTGGTTTACAAAAGGCACAGACAATGACCACGGACACAGGAGGCTTGGAACCCAACATGAGCAATGACCGGTGCCAATGTCCCTACACACACCTGTGACATTCCAGTGAGAAGTCTGTGAGCGTACTGGGCACAGTTAATGTCAAAAGCATCATGTCTGTAGCAGGAAACGAATGGCGAGGCCAGGCCTTGCGTTTTGGCTCTTGGTGGAGGGCTGGCCTCGAAATGCCACGACAGCGGCGGCCCAGAGCTGACTCGGGCGTGGTGGGCGTGTGAACACCAGCAAGGGCAGTTTCTGCAACCGTTGTGCGGCAGGAAAAGTCTCAAAAGCATTTACAGGAAATTGCCTCATTAGCTAATAATTTAGAAAATCTTCATGCTGTTGCTGGCCCACAAAGTCAGACAATTGAAACTAGGCTGGGAGGGAGGGGCAGCTTCCCCGCAGAAACCAGGCGCCTGCGCCCGGCACGGACTCGGACACATCTAGAAGGCCCTGCCACTGACCCCAGCAGACACGGCCCCTTCTCTGCGCACGTCCCGCTGCCAGCAGCAGGCCCGGCAGCTCCATCCTCCAGGCCAGGCGACCACAGCTGGGCCTCACCGATCAGTGCAGCATCTCGCCACACTGGCCACCCTCAGCCATTTGCTTTGGGGGAAAGGGGAAGAAACAGCAAAGAAAAAGAACCCTGGGGACAGTCACAGGACACACCCTCACAGTGCGGGAGAGCTGGCGCCACCTGGCAGGCGCCTGGCCGCTCGGGGCCAGAGCTCGGCTCAGGCTCACGGCCTCGCCCGACCATCGCGAGGGCACACCTTTTCAAGTAGGGAGGACGTAGTGAGTGGGAATTATTGCTCTTTTGCTTCTGAGATTTTATCTCTGGGAGGGGCTGTTTTCCCAGTGAGACGTCAACTGGAAAACCCGTGTACTGCTGATGGGGGCCAGGGGCTGGGAGAACAGGGAGGGCAAGTGGGACTCGGCGGACAGCGGGTGCTCAGGCTCCAGATCCGGGCCATGACGGGGCCAGCAATGGGCGTGCCCAGTCAAACCCGCCAGATACCAGAGAAGTGACGCAGCGAAGTGCTTACAGCTGCAGCTGGCCCGGGGGGAGACCGACTGCTCTGCGGGCTTCCCGAGCCCTGAGGTCCATGAGGAGAGGGAGGGGCGGCTTGGGGCGAGCCGGGCCAGCGGGAGGTCTGCTGGACATGTTCTCGTTCGGAAGCACAGCGTCCGTCTCCTGTGTGCCACTGACACCGGTGCCAATGTCCCCATACGGAACTGTGCGGCCACAGGTTTTATGGGAGATCCCTGCAGGCCCCCCAGGAACCCCCAGCTGCCAGCCTCACACTCACAGGCGTCCAGAAAGAACAGGGAGTCTCCCCTGCCCGAGCCGAACCTGAGAGGTCTGTCCTCAATCTCGGGCCAGAACCAGCCCAAGCGAAGCCTGGCCTCTGGTCAAAGGCAGGGCCCCTCAGTCGGCGGGAAGGGGCTCAGAGCAGCAGATATTGCAAGAGGTGGGCCCCCGTGTGCACCCTCCGGAGGACCTCCCCTGAGGGCTGGCACCGCAGGCGGGGATGGGTGATGTCCCCGGGAGCCTGGGTCACGGGGAGAAGCACTGGCACCTGCCCTTGGAGGCAGGAGACCCTGGTCCCGGCCCCCTCCCTCCACTGTCGGCTCTGTGTCCTCTCGGGGGGTGGACAGATCCATGCCCAGGTGGGAGGCACTTGGACTGGTCCAGCACAGCAGCTGGTGGGTGAAGCTGCAGCCTTCTCCGCGGAGGGCCCGGCAGCCTCAGGCCTGTAGGCTGGTCTGAGGAAGTCAAGTTCTCCTCATGGGTACTAGGCAGGTGGAGCTTGCACTGGCACTGGAACCGGCCTGGCCCTGGCTGGCCTTGGTGGCCACACATGCGGGAACGGGGGCCTGGCCCATGGCAGCCAGGACGTGTGTTTGGCAGGGAGCCAGACCACCTGGCTCTGGCATTAGCTCAGCTTGGCTGATGGCGGACGCTGGGCTCTGCCCAGGAAGCCGACGCCTGGAAACCTTCAACTTGACTTCCAGACAGATGAGTGAAAAACCAAGACGGGAGCAGGCAACAGCCCCCCCCCCCCTCCTCCTGCGACCCGGCCAGGACCCCTGGATGTGGGCTCGGCCACACCTGGCTGCGGAGGGCTGCTGTCAGCGAGGAGCAAGGTGGTGCTGCTAACCTCGTGGCCTCGCTCAGTGGTACTGTCCGGGGTCCGTGGGGACCAGCGGCTCGGTGCTGTCCTCTGGGGCCTGGCTGGCAGCTGCAGCCAGGCTCTGCATGGCCTCCTGCTGGTACTGCCTAGCCTTGTTGTAGAGTAAGACACCGACTGTCACCAAGATGGTGCCGATGGCTGATAGGCTGGTGATGCGGTTGCCAAAAACGATGATACTCAGCCAGATGGACAGGGCGTGCTTCACGGTGCTGGCAACACTGCCGCGACACAGGGCGCAAAGTGGGGACAGGACGCTCAGACTCAGGCTCGCGCTGGGCCCCCGGCCGCAGTGCCTGGCCAGGACCATGTGACCGCCGCACGGCCGTGCCTGGCTGAGGGGGGCTATGCCCCAGGGGGCCATGGCGGGGAGACCACCGGAGGGTTCCAGAGCTGTAGGGGCCCGCCCACTCCCTGTTTTTTGTCGTGAGGGGCGAAGGGCTAGGGGCAGGGCGAAGCACAGCTATCGCCAGGGACGAGAGCCAGACGCCACTCAACCGCGGAGCTGCTCGTCTGCCCTGCAGACCTGGACGCCCTGTGTGTGGGCGTCCTCGGCTCACCTGAAGGTCACAGGGGAGATCTTGCCCATGAGGGCGTACGCCGTGACGCTCTGCAGGTGGAACAGCACGCCGTCCATCAGCAGCAGCAACACGACGTCCTGGCTGTAGCTGAAGCTCTTCCCGCTCCTCCCGATCACAGGCACGTCCTGCGGCCAGAACAGGGGGAGGCTGTGCGGGCCTGGGCGCTCCCTGCACACCACCCACAGAGACGGCGAGGGGCACGTCCTGTGGCCAGAACAGGGGGAGGCTGTGCGGGCCTGGGCGCTCCCTGCACGCCACCCACAGAGACGGCGAAGGGCACGTCCTGCGGCCAGAACAGGGGGAGGCTGTGCGGGCCTGGGCGCTCCCTGCACACCACCCACAGAGACGGCGAGGGGCACGTCCAGCCACAGGCTGGGCAAGGCTGACAATGTCATTTGGTCTGCCCCTGCCAAGGCACCGAGGCGGGACTCAGTGCAGTAATCGACAGTGTGCTAATTTCTAAGTTATAGTTCTGAACGGTTCCCTAGTGGTGGGGTCACTGGCAGAGGAAGGCTCCCCAGCCCTGCGCGAAGTGGACACAGCATGGCTCCCCTCAACACAGCCTTCCAGGTGGGAGCCTGAACTACACCAATCAAGACTGCCAGAACCCACAGACACCTGCCATCAAAAACCACAACAGGAGAGCACCTCCCCCCACAGGACAGGTCTTGTCAAACACAAACAAAGCAAGCGACGGCAAAGCCCTGCAGGAGCCGAGCGCTGTGCCCGGCTGTGAGATTCGAGCAACTGGAGACCCCCGCGGGGCAGCACCCCCCGCCCCGAGGCGCTTGCACACCCACGTCCACAGCAGCTTTGTTCATGAAGAGCCAGAATGTGGAGGCCGCCCAGACGGCTAAGGGATGGATGGCGGACACCACGGGGCCATCCACGCCACGCAGTGCCATTCAGCCGCAGAGAGGCGGGCAGTTCCGGCACACGCCCCAGCCAGGACGGGCCTCAGACACGGCGTGCAAGGGAAGTGAGCCGGACCCAGGACAGGTGCCGCTCCCTGACACGGGGCTCCAGGGGCCAGACTGGGGGGGCCAGCAGCACACTGCTTCAGCTCTGCGGGATGAGGGTGCGCTGGGCCAGCAGCTGAGGCCCTGCTGGCGACGCGGAGCGCCAGGCTCCTGGCTTCACCGGACAGAAGTCCTGGCCGCTGCGGGTGTTTGGGGGAGGGCATCAGCAGATGGAAGAGCTGTTTTTTCTCCCTCGCTCCCTGTCACTGTGTCTTTCAAATACATAAAATACATCTTTAAAAAACTAAAAAAATATGGAGAGTGAGAGAGGGATGCAGAGTGTGGCTGCATCCGATGCTGCTCACACTCAGAAGTGTCCTCTGGGGCTGGCGTTGTGGCTGGGCAGGTTAGTCACACCGACAGAGCCGACATCCAGTATGTGCCCCAGTTTAATCCCGCTGCTCCACTGCCCATCCAGCTCCCTGCTAATGCGCTCGGGAAAGCAGCAGAGGATGGCCCAGTGCTGGGGCCCTGCACCCACGTGGGAGACCTGGAAGAAGCTCCTGGCTTCAGTCTGGCCCAGCCCTGGCTGCTGTGGTCATTTAGGGGAGTGCATGAGCGGACAGAGGATCTCTCTCTCTCTCTCTCTGTCTGTCTCTGTCTCTCCCTCCCTCTAACTATGCTTTTCAAAGAAATAAGAATAAAATGTTTCACATGGTAAAAAGATTTAAACATGAATAATCTTTCAATGAAACACTGCAATTTCAAAAATGTACCCCAGAAAAACACTCTCATCTGCAAAAGATCAACAGGTTTCCTGGTCTGTGTACACGAGAGGAAAAGCAAAACCAAATCTTCCCGGGGGTCAGGGTGGGCTGCAGGCCCCAGGCCAGGCCACCCTCACACCTGGACAGGACAGCTGCTGCCATGCAAACAAGTCAGCAGCGCTGACACAGCACCCGGCCGTCCGCGAGACCGCATGCTGCCTCCCTCTCGCTCCTGGACTGCTGAGAGAAACAGCTGCCGGGGCCTGAGGCGGCCGCCTGAGAGACGCACCATGAGGAAGATCCAGGCTGGGATCAGCAGAGCCACGGCCGCGGCGCTGGTGTAGAACTGCAGCTCCGGGGCCCTGCGGGGACAGGAGATGCTCCACCAGGCCCGTGCAGGGGGCCAGGCTCCGGCCTAGGACTTCCCAGCACACGCATCTGAGGGTGCACACAGGCCCGAGACCTGCTGTCTCCCGGGACAGTGAGGACCTCCACGGCGACCAGAGGCCAGGCGGGCGTGTGGCGGCACAGTGAAGCTGCCTGCGGCACGTCCACACCCCACACCAGGTGCTCGGACCAGTCCTGGGTCCAGCACTGGGCTCCACAGCTTCCCGCTGACATGCATGCTGGCTGGCAACAGGTGCCCAGGAACCACGTGGGGACCTGGGCGGGGCTCCTGGGTTCACGGTGGCTGGGCCCACCTGCTGCAAACGTCTGGGGAGTGACCCAGCAGACGGCTTCTGTCTTAAGTCACATAAATGAATAAAATGAAAAGGCAATCACACACCCAGGCAGCAACAGGACAGGAAGAGGGTGGCTTCCCCACATTCTGACAAAGTCCTTCTAATGTCCACCCGAGCCCAAGTGGGGCCCGCGTCAGTCTGTGGGGCCCCTGGATCTGACTGGCCTGGAGCTGGAGAGCCCGCCCACGCACGATACTCACGAGAACCTGTACTTGTCCCCGCTCAGGAGCTTTTTTGAGAAAACGTTCTGCAAACTACAAGAAAGAACAGGAGAGGTGAAGGGTGAACAAGCTAGGACGGCACGGTGAACGCACATGGCGTCCGGCCCTCGCCGACCACAGCGCTGCCCCCACTCAGCGGACAGCACGCCGACCACAGCGCTGCCCCCACTCAGCGGACAGCACGCCGACCACAGCGCTGCCCCCACTCAGCGGACAGCGCGCCGACCACAGCGCTGCCCCCACTCAGCGGACAGCGCGCCGACCACAGCGCTGCCCCCACTCAGCGGACAGCGCGCCGACCACAGCGCTGCCCCCACTCAGCGGACAGCGCGCCGACCACAGCGCTGCCCTCACTCAGCGGACAGCGCGCCGACCACAGCGCTGCCCTCACTCAGCGGACAGCGCGCCGACCACAGCGCTGCCCTCACTCAGCGGACAGCGCACCGACCACAGCGCTGCCCTCACTCAGTGGACAGCGCACCGACCACAGCACTGCCCTCACTCAGCGGACAGCGCACTCCCTGAGGCCAGGCACTGTGGTGAGGTTCTTGCCCGAGGTGCTCAGCTCTTTGGCATCACAGGACCCTAAAGTCCCCGCTCTGAGCACTTCACAAAACCCTAATTTGGTTTTTTTTGAAAAGCCTTTATTTGAAAGGTGGGGCGGGGGGCATCTTTCATCTGCTGGTTTATTCCCTAAATGGCCACAATAGCCAGGGCTGGGCCAAGCCCAAGTCAGGAGCCGAGAACTCCATCAGGGTCTCCTACGTGGTGCAGGGGCCCAAGTGCTGGGCCGCCTCCCACTGCTTTCCGAGCTCTTGGCAGGGAGCTGCATTGACAGTGGAGCAGCCGGGCCGGCGCCGCGGCTCACTAGGCTAATCCTCCGCCTTGCGGCGCCGGAACCCCGGGTTCTAGTCCCGGTTGGGGCGCCAGATTCTGTCCCAGTTGCCCCTCTTCCAGGCCAGCTCTCTGCTGTGGCCAGGGAGTGCAGTGGAGGATGGCCCTGCACCCCATGGGAGACCAGGAGAAGCACCTGGGTCCTGCCATCGGATCAGCACGGTGTGCCGGCCACGGCGGCCATTGGAGAGTGAACCAACGGCAAAGGAAGACCTTTCTCTCTGTCTCTCTCTCTCTCTCACTGTCCACTCTGCCTGTCAAAAAAAAAAAAAAAAAAGCGGAGCAGCTGGGACTTGAAGCAGTGCTCACGTGTGCTGCCCCAGCAGTGTCCAGGCAGGAGCTGTGCCACGGCGCCACGGCGCAGGCCTGCAAAGCCCCACGTTGAAGAAAAGGGGTCTAAAGTCAGCAGCCACCATGGCCGGCACCCGGGTACCCAGGTGTGTGACTGACACAGAGCTGCCTCCCCGAAGGCCTCGATAAACACAAACAGGCAAGACCCAGCACAGGACAAACCGCGGGAGACGGCCAGAGGCCGGTGAGAACGTGAAACAAGCGGCAGGCGCTGTGGCGCAGCGCCGGCTCGGGCGGCCGGGCGGCCAGGAGCCACGCCAGCGCCGCTCCGAGGCCCAGCCTCCTGCTCACGTCCTTGGGCAGGCACAGGATGCCCGGCCACCGCCCGGAGGCCCAGACGGAGCTCTGGGCCGCTGGCGTCAGCACGGCCCAGCCCTGGCTGGTGCAGCCATCTGGGGAGTGAGCGAGCCATCAGATGGAAGATGTCTCTGCGGCACTGTGCCTTTCAAACAAAATAAATCTAAAAAAACTGTTTGCAAAAGCAGCAGCACGCGACACAGCACGCAGCCCGAGCAGCGCCAGGAGACACGTGAGGAGGCGCCGCTGCTCTGGGCTCCGCGGCAGCTCTGGCGCCGTGGGGCGGCAGGCAAGCCGCGGCCTGCGACCCTGCCATGCTTATGGGCCCGGCTCATGTGCCCGCTGCTCCACTTCCATCCAGCTCCCTGCTGTGGCCGGGAAGGCAGGGGAAGACGGCCCAGGCCTGGGCCCTGCACCTGCGTGGGAGACCCGGACGGCATTCAGCCCCTGGCTTCGGCTGGCCCACCTCTGGCCGTCGCATCCACCTGGGGACTCGTTCACACAGGGATCCCAGAGCCGGCCGCGGACGAGGGGCCGTCACGGACACCACGCCACGCAGCAAGTCCAGAGCAAAGCGAGCACACGGACGGGCCGGGAGGCAGCCAGGCTACGTGTCAGGAACTACAGACGCAGAGAAGGCGAAAGGCACGCTGCAGTGCCGGACCCGAGGGCCATTCCGTGTCCCCGAGCGGCGTCAGGCCGCCGAGCCGGCTGCACGCCGCAGAACGGGCGTCCGTGGCGACCGCACGCGGGAGCTGGGCCCCTCCCCGTTCCTTTCTCAAAACAGCGCGGCTGAGAAGTGATGGCAATTCTTAGAGACCAGCTCGTTGGCTCAGCTGTGGACTCGGGGCCCCAGCAGGGTTCCCTGGACCAACCTAAATCTAACAGGGACGCGACACTGGCCTCTCCTGCCCGCGGCACGGCGCCGTCCCCTGGTCTTCTTCATGGCCACGATGCAGGGAAAAGCCGCCAGGATGCCCACAGCCCAGGGAGAGCCCCTGGCTGCAGCTGAAGCGCCCCCTGGTGATCCCGAGCTGGAACAGCCACACCGACGGGCATGGGCGGCAGGGTGTTCCAGGGCTCGCGTGTCTCTGATGAGCGACTTCGCAGCACGACCACGTGGTCGAATTCCGGCTTGTTTCTGAGCGAAAGCTATGCTGGGGCACTGAGGGAACCTGGCTTTGGATCAGGGAGGTGGCTCTGGGCTGGCCTCAGACGACACAGACGGAGCAGCGTCTCACAAGCACCCCCACGGACGCCCACACTCTGCCACTCACCAGTCCATGATGTTGGTGGACAATGCAGCCGAAAAGCCCAGGACATTGAAGCTGATCTCGGTGGCTGTGCAGAGCGCCAGCCCTCCCATGACCGGGATGAGGGCGAGGTTGACCAGCAGCCCTGAGGAGAGCGCAACACACGGTGAGCAGGTGCAGCGCCCTGGAGCACCGCGGCCGGCAGGGCTCTCAGAACCAGCACCGGCAACTGCTTGGTGCAGAGCGCAGAGCAGGCAAACGCCAGCTCCTGTCGGCAGGCACGCCCGCCACCTCCCTGCGCCGGGGGCCTTGCAAGGACCGCAGCGACCAGACACGTGCTGGCCCTCACGGCGCCTGGGCGTGCAGGTGAAGAGGGTGAGTGACCGGTGTCCAGGCAGCTGTGAGAAAGAGACCCTGAGGGCCTGGCACGGGGCTGGGGGCTCCACCACACTGCCCACTGTTAGGATGGGTCTACAGCGCAGCGGTTAAGGCGCTGCTTGGGGGGCCTGCGCCCGCAGCAGAGTGCCCGGCCCTGTACCTGACTCCAGCCTCCTGCTGAAGCCCACCCTGGGAGGGTAGTGTAACTCAGTACTAGGGCCCCTGCCACCCACAAGGCTCCCAAGATCCTGGCTGCAGCCTAGCACGGCCCTGGGTGTTGCAGGCATTTGGGGAGTAAACCAGTGGGTGAAGATGTCTCTCAATTAAAAAATCCATTCAGGGAACTGGCACCGTGGCACAGTGGGTTAAGCCATGGCCCCCAGTGCCGGCATCCCATGCGGGCATTGGTTCGAGTCCTGGCTGCTCCATTTCGGATCCAGCGAGGTGCCAATGATGTGCCCCGGAGAGCGGCAGGCAGTGGCTCAAGTGCTTGGGCCCCTGCACACGTGGGAGGTCCAGAGGAAGCTCCTGGCTCCTGGTCAGCCCAGCCCAAGTCATTGGGATACTGGGGAGTAACCAGTGGATGAGGTCTCTCGTCTCTCTCCTTCTCTAACTCTGCCTTTCAGACAAATACATCTTCCAGGGGCAGGTGTCTGGCCAGCGGTTAGATCGCGGCCTTGGCTCCACCTCCAGCGCCACTTCCGACCCCGCCTCCGCCTGGGGCTCGCTGGGGGGCGCGGGGCCTGGCTCAAGGACTTGGGTCGCTGCTGTCCCTCTGGGAGACGTGGAGCTCCAGGCGTCCAGCTTTGGCCCAGCTCTGGCTGCTGCAGGAATTTCGGGGGCGCACCACAAGTGGGAGACCTCTCTGTCTTTCTGCCTCTCAAATTAAGAAAGAATTCCTCAATGCATCAGCAGTCGCGTTTCCTGTGCATGGTGGTTCCGGGAGCGGGCGCCAGGCGATTCTGGGCCCACACTCAGCCGGCCTTGAGATCCGCGTCAGTGAGGGCGTGAGCACACGGTGTTCGCAGAGTGGACCAAGCTGAGGCCTCAGGCCAGAGCAGGGCCCCCGGCCCCGACTCCGCGCCTCGCTCACAGGACCTGAGCTGAGGATGGGGACTGCTCTGCCGTGGACCCAGCACGCACGCCGGCCTCCGCCCCGGCTGGCCCTCAGCTCCTGGACGCTCACTACAGAATGGGCGTGCGGAACCTGCGGCCACTTCAACGCCACGGGGATCCTGCTTGACTCTGGTGCAGGGCTGGGGCCCGGGCGCCACCGACACTGGGGGTCTCAGCCAAGGCCTCGGGGATGGTGCCGCACACCAGAGCCACCTGCTGGAGTCCCCTGGGCTCTCAAGTCCTGCGCCTCAGTTTCCCCCAGCGGGGAGATTCCTGACTGACCCCAGAGAGCTGCTTTGTCAGACATGTCCACCACAGCTGGAAGCCAAATCAAGACGTTCAGTGCTGGAGTCGTTCCTTCTGTGGGGCCGAAGCCGCTGCTGCACGCAGCAGGACTCGCTGCCTCGGCAGGGCGAGGAGGGCTCTGGACGCTGGCCCGGGGCGGCCGGGCTCTCCCACCTCCCTCCCCTCCCCTCCTCTCCCCCCCCCCTCCCCCCTCACCTGTGTACTCGCCCAGAATCATGCGGGACATGATCACGGTGAAGATGGGGGCGGAGCTCTTCACGGTTTCCGCAAACGAAACGGCCACGTTTTTCAGGCTGACCAAACCCAGGACGACGGTTGCAAACCTGCAAATAAGCAGGAAGCACCGTCGGGTGAACGAGCCAAGCAAGCAGCCGCTGGGGACAGGGCCCCAGAGGGTCAGCTCCAGCAGGCGGCCACGCCGGCCTCTCCCCTCCGCACCCTCACCCACATGGGCTCCTGGGCTTGGGCCCAGAGCTCAGGGTGAGGCCTGCGAGGTGCTGGCCGGCCCCCGAGGCCCAGGCATTGCCAGGGGAAGCAGGCACGCCCCCCACAAACCACGGCTAAATTTGCTTCCAGGGCAGCTCCAGAAAGAACTCGACAAAACCAAATTCCTTCGGTGCCTGGAACCTGGGCGCCCTCCTGAGTCCCCGGAGCCTGCGCTGCCCTCGTGGTAACCGCGAAGCTGCCTCCCGCACGGGAGGAAGTCCTGCCAGCCGCGGCCGCAGACGCCTCACCTCATGAGGCCCACGAAGAGCATGGTGGTGATGAAGTTGGGGGGGTAGGAGAGCCGGGCCTTGTGCTGGTACAGACAGCAGGGGACGAAGACCTTGACACAGCCAATGAAGGTCGTGGACAGCATCTGCACGGCGCCTGCAGGGAGGCGCAGACCTGGGTGCAGAGGGGTCCCGGCCACGCCCTCGGCCGCCCAGGGCCCACGCCCTCCCCCCAGGGCCCACGCCTTCCCCCCAGGGCCCGCCCCCTGGGCCCCCAGGCCCCCCAGGGCCCGCCTTACCCAGCATGCTGGGCTCGCCCTCCCCCCAGGCCCCCCAGGCCCCCCAGCCCCCCGCCCCCCAGCCCGCCTTACCCAGCATGCTGGGCTCGCCCTCCAGCAGGGACAGGATGTACTTGTTGAGGAAGAGGGTGCAGAAGCTGAGGAAGAACCACAGCGTGAGGTAGAGCAGGGCCCGCGAGTCCCACACGCCCAGGTCCGACTCGATGACGGTGGTCTCGGTGATGGTGATGGTCAGCAGGTTCTCCGCAGGGCTGCCCTCGGCCCTGGCAAACGCCACCTTCTCGCCCCGATGGCCGAGCAGAGAGCCCCAGCTGAGCAGGGACTGCCTCTTCTCCCCGCCGCCAGGAGCCGTCTCCTCCGGCGCGGAGGGTTTCGTGGAAGAAGCCATGCAGGCGCCGCAGCTGGGGACGCTTCTGTCTCAAGGACGGGCAGCACAGCCGGGCGTGAGCACGCACGACGCAGGCGAGGGGGCGGGGGTCCCAGCTGCCACCGACATGGCCTCGGAAAGTGCCTCTCGCCAGCAGAGCGCAGACATGGAACCCGAACACTAAGAAAAGGAAACACGTCACTTATTTTGAATATTTAATGTCTTTAACAGTTTTATTCACCAATTTAAAATGACTTTAAAATACCAGGTGGAGCTGAGTCTCACTGCTGGACTTCCGGCGGGTTCACGGGCCCCCGAGACGGAACCAGGGCCAGCTCCTGGTCTGCCCATCCGAGGCAGCGCACACCCAGGGCTCCCAGAGCCTTGGTCACTTCACGATCAACACAAACCTCTGGCTCGTCCTGCCTCCCGCAGGGCAGCACCCAGAGCCTCCGGCCTCCACCGGGGCCCGGGCCGTCTCTGCCACTGGGTCCTAAGCTGTCACAACGGGCTCCTGGCACCAGCGAAGGGCCCTGGAGAGAACAGGTGCTCAGGCCCTGCAGGCTCTCCCTGCGCCCTCAACTAGACGTTTTGTGCGTCTGATCCCGCGACGCCCGTGTCAGACGGGCACTTTCTACCCCATCCGTGGAGTCTGTCTGTCTGTCACCGGATCTTCCACTTCCGGACACCGTATCTGGTCTCACTTCTAACCATCCTGTTTTTCCCTAATCTTGCTCTTTCCTTTCGCTGTGTGTGTGTGTGTGTGTGTGTTTAATTATATACCTACTTGTTTGAAAGACAGAGTCGGAATGCCTTGTGCTGGTTCATTTCCCAAATGCCAGCAACAGCTGGGCCTGCGCCAGGCTGAAATCAAGCCCCAAACTCCACGTGGGTCTCCCCCAAGGGTGGCAGGGACCCAACCACTCGAGCCGTCACTGTCTGCCTCCCAGGGTGCAGCTTGCCAGGAAGACAGAGTTGGGAGCAGCGTGAGCTCAAACCCAGGCACAACGCCGTGTGCTGCCCACCTGCTCACCAAAGACCCACCCCTGCTAAACTCAGCTCACGTATGGGATTCCAGAGGCCCCTGGGCTGGGCTGACACCAGACGGGCTTGCGGCAGCCACCTGGTTACCTGGAGGTGAACACGCAGAAGAGACCACTGCCAGGGTGGGGAGCCCACAGGGGCGCCCGCGGCCGGCCTCGGTCACTGCTGAGGAGCTGAGCGCCCACGGCGGGTGCCTGGCCCCGCCTTGCTTCTCTCAGCTCCCACCCCTTCACGGCCACCAGCTCTCCAGACTGGACCTGTGTGCACGCCCCCTGGCCTGTCCACGCCGGAAAGCCTGTGTCCAAAACCCTCTTCCTGCTCCCACTCTGGCTTCTGCCGACCCTGCAAGGCCGAGGGGACGGCTCGGGTGACCGGGCCAGGGTTTCCAAAACATGGGTTCTGGGCTTGATTTCAGCCTGACGCAGGCCCAGCTGTGTCAGCCTTTGGGAAATGAACCTGGGCAGGCCTGGGCTGGGTGCCTGGTGCCTGGCTCCTGGCTTGGCCTGGCCTTGTCTGTCAGGCATCTGGGGGGTGAGCCACTTCCCTTTGTCAAATCCCAGCCCAGCTCCCTCTTGCCAGATCAGACTCCTCCCAACCTTCATCTGGGAGTCCACAAGCCAGGCAGAGCTGCCGGCAGCAGTGGGAGCGCCCACCCCGCCCGCTGTGCCGGCCCCTGCACGGCCAGGGCCGCAGCCTCTCCCCGCAGGTGTCCCACTAAGGAGCAGGCCACGGCCATCCCTGCCCCAACACCTGCTCACCGGTCTCAGCCAGCACCAGCCCTGCCCTCCACATGGCCCGGTGCTGCTGGGCGCCCGTGCTGTCTCTGTGGAAACGCCCGGGCACGGACGCACACGCATCCGACTCCGTGACTGCTCAGCTGCCGCCCCCAAGCCAAATCCCGGCCTGCGGTCAGGCCCACGGGGGTCCTGCTTCCCCCTTGCGCTCACGGCTCCCACAGGCCACCGCGCCACGACAGGGGCACGGCCACCCCAGGAGGCAGAGCCTACCCTCCCCGCAGGCCAGCGACCTCCGGCTGCACAGAACCCTGGGGACGCAGGCACACGGAGGGCGCCGAGCTCCACCGGTGAGGCGTGGATGCCGGATGCCGGCCAAGTTGAGTTACTTCCCGGCCTCTTTGCTACTCAGGGGCAGCCGGGCAGAAAGCCACTCTGCTGGGACCGCCCCGGCAGCACCCACGGTTTGTGCCTGTCACAGGCTGTCCTGGTCGGAACACCCGCCGGCACCAGCTGGACGTTCTCCAAAGTCACCCTGGGGAAGGGGAGCTGAGAGCTCGAGGGGCCGCGCCCACCGACGTCTGTGCCGAGGTGGCGTCCAGTGCGGCCTTCTCAGGAGTAAACAAAACCAACCAGGCGCAACCCCGGCCTCTCCCACCAGGAGGAAGGAGTTAGGGAAGCTCTGGGCCCACAGCCCACGGAGGCAGCGCAGGGTCGGGCGAGACGCAGGCCTTGTGTCCCCAGGAGTGCGCGACTCCCGGGGCGCACACCCCTGCCTTTCTGACGCACCCTGGAGGGAGAGGAGGCCCCTCCCCACGGCAGGGGGGCCGTGAGGCTGAGGACGGCACTCGGTGGTGTTAGGGCCACTCACCGTGCGCCCCGGTGGAGACGCCAGCTGTCAGCCAGGGTTCCTGGGAAACTCAGGCTGTGACAAAGCAGAGGCTCAGGGCAGGCGGGGAGGCCGAGCCCCCTCTGGGCGCCTCTCCCAGCACCTGGGGCTCACAGGCCCCGCCCCTCCGCTGCTCCGGGACATCCCAACCCCACCAGTCCTGCTGCTGACGGCCCCGTCCTCGCCATCCAGGGCCAGCCCAGGTCACTTCATCAGCAGAGCCCCAGGGTGACGAGTACGGAGGCCGCCCCTCACCCAGGAGGCCCTGGGACCTGCACCAGGCCGCCCCTCACTCAGGAGGCCCTGGGACCTGCACCAGGCCCTGTTGGGGGCAGCACCTCCCAGGCCCGGCAGCTCCCACGTCGGCCACCTCAGTGTCGCGCGCCACAGCCAAGCCTGGTGCTGCTTCAGACAGGATGCAAGGGGGCAGGGGGCCAGCACTTCTGGAAGACCTGGCTCTGCTCCCTGGGCTGCTAGCGGTGCCCAGGTGCCCCCGCACACTTGGACCCTGCAGCAGGAGTGGGGGTGCAGGGCGGCAGCCGAGCCCTGGAGGCCAGGGGTCTGGGATGTGGGTTGGGGTAGGGACGCAGCCAACTGGTGACACAGGAGGGACGGGGGAGTGGCCCTCTGCTGCCCCCCGAGCCCACCCCTTTTCCTCTGTGCAGGGGGCTGAGCACTGGGGGGGGGCTTGGCCTGAGCCAAGCACACACCTTCCCTTGCAGCCACTGTGCCTGGGAGGTGACAACGGGGGGGGTGCTGCAGGGCCAGCCCCTCCCCAGCTCCTGTCCTGCTCAAGGCCCACCCCCACCACTCTCCTCAGACATCTGCTCTGCAATGCCAGAGCCCACGAGGGACCACGGGGTGTGGGAGGGCCGCGCTGTGGCTCGGCGGATTAACCTGCCGCCTGCAGGGGCGGGGCGGGAGGGGCGGGCGCTGTGCAATCAGAGTCCCATCTGGTCCCAGTCCACTCAGTTTGCGGAGGACAGTGGCCCGTGTGCCCGGCCCCTGCACCCGCGTGGTTGGCCCAAGTGGATTTCCAGGCTCCTGGCCCGGGCCTGACCGGTGCGGCCACGTGGGGAGTGAGCCTGCAGACGGAGGATCCCGCTATCTAATTCTGCCTTTTAAATAAATAAATCTTCAATTCAAAAGAGACGCAACTTCAGATGGCCATGGCGCCAGTGCCAAGTGACCACTGGCCCCGGGGCGTCCCCAGGGCTGGACCACGAGCTGCCTGCCCTGTCCAGCACTGCTCAGGCAGCCAGGGCAGACACACGTGGCCCAGGGGCTGCACCATGGCCACGCTGTTGTCACCATGCCCAGAGAGGGCCCGGGAGAGCTGCACACACCAGGTGGACGCTCGCCTCCTGGTCACACACCGTCCGCCCAATGTGTGCCGAGAGTGAGGAAGATGGGGCGGAGCTCGGCAGGGCCCCCCACTGAGAGGAGCCGGGCCCTGCCCGAACGCGCGGGAGCCACGTCTGTGTCTGCTGTCTACAAACTAAGAAGTCACGGGGTCCCTCTCCTTCCCACGGGCCCGCCAGTCACACCTGGGCTGCTGCCACGCACCTGCTGCCCACAAGAGGTGGGAAAGGGAGACAAACAGCAGAGCTGGCCACGGAGCAAGCAGTGGACAGAAACCCGGGGCTGGGGCCTGGACAGCCGAGCTGCTGCGGCTGGGCCCAGGGCTGAGGGCAGAGGACAGAGCGCAGAGCCTGTGGCTGGGCCCAGGGCTGAGGACAGAGGGCAGAGCCTGCGGCTGGCCCCAGGGCAGAGGACAGAGGGCAGAGGACAGAGCCCGCGGCTGGGCCCAGGGCTGAGGGCAGAGGACAGAGCACAGAGGGCAGAGCCTGTGGCTGGGCCCAGGGCTGAGGGCTGAGGGCAGCGCCTGCGGCTGGGCCCAGGGCAGAGGGCAGAGGGCAGAGGGCAGAGCCTGTGGCTGGGCCCAGGGCTGAGGGCTGAGGGCAGAGGACAGAGCCTATGGCTGGGCCCAGGGCTGAGGGCAGAGCACCCACCCACTAGGAAGGTGCAGTCCGCACAGACAGCCCTGAGGGCCCCCAGGAGCTGAGAGCGGGCAGCAGAAACAGAACCTCAGCGGAGGGGCCGGCGCCGTGGCGCAGTGGTTAATCCTCCGCCCGCAGCGCCGGCGTCCCATATGGGCACTGGTTCTAGTCCAGGCTGCTCCTCTTCCAATCCAGCTCTCTGCTGTGGCCTGGGAAGGCATTAAAAGATGGCCAAGTCCTTGGGCCCCTGCGCCCGCGTGGGAGATCGGGAAGAAGCTCCTGGCTCCTGATCTGCCCAGCTCCGGGAGTGAACCAGCAGACAGAAGACCTTTCTCCCTGTCTCTCCCTCTCACTGTACTCTACCTCTCAAATAAGTAAATAAAATCTTAAAAAAAAAAAAAAAAAAAAGAACCTCACTGGGGCCTGTAGCCTCGTCCTGGGCCGCAGCGAGGGGTCCCGGCTTTCCCAAAACGTGGTGGAGGCACCTAGCACTCCCCTGAGAGCCGGAGGTGGCGCCCGGCCAGCAAGTCTGGGTGACAGAGCTGAACAGGGCCCCTGCATGAGGTCCCTCCCCAGGGAGGCCGCAAGTCCTCCCGGGACCCAGGATCGCGACTGAGGGGCAGGTCAGTCCTGCAGACCAGAGGAAGCCGCGGGCGCTCAGAGCTGGGAATCGTGACACGCGCCGGCCTCTGCTCGGCCTGGAGCTTCTCCCACACATGTCCTCTACCCCAAAGGGACACCTGGCAGACGCCATCGCCATCAATCAGAGCTAAACCCACCACCGTGAGGACGTGGTGACTGCGCACGGGGAGGGGCGTGGCCTGGAGATGTCCCGCCCCAGAGAGAGCAGAGGGGCTGGGGGGGGGCAGCATGGAAGCTGGCAGCAGCACCTTCTAACAGGTCTGGCATCTCTCACTTGCTGAAAAACCAAAAATCCTTAAACCAGTAGGGACAGGAAAACCGGTCTCCAACACAGAGCCCTGGGGCAGGCACTGCTGCACACCGGCATGGCCTACCAGTCTCCGGTTCGAGACCCGGCTCTGCCTGCGATGCCCGCGTCCTGCAGACGAGCACCCAGGAGGCAGCGGATCACGGCGCGAACGCTTGGGCCCCTGCAACCCGGGCGGGAGACCTGGGTGGTGCTCTGGGGAGTGAGCCAGCGGAAGGAAGACCTCTCTCTGCCTTTCAAGTAAACAGACAGAAATTTAAAATAAGTAAAAGGGAACACAAGTGCAGGAATCAAACAACACAGTGCACTAAAGCGAGAAGCAAAAAGCACTCAACTCGCTAAGCTTGGACCCGGGCAGGGGACAGCGTCGCCGTGGGCCGTGAGGCCGGTGACGTCATCTGTGCGGCCCTGCCAAGGCACATGGGATGATTGTGTACGGCCCACGAGCGACGCTATAAACACCACTGTGCGCGGTGTCATCGGCTAGGAATTCTGAATTGTGCAAGCAAAGACAAGCAGATAACGGGAACCAGACTTCTTTTTAAGTATTTAGTTTATTGGAAAGACAGAGACAGACAAGAGCCCTAACTTCCTTTCACTGATTCACTCCACAATGCAACAGCTGGGCTGGGCCAGGCCGCGTCCAGGAGCCCGGGACTCCCTCTGGGTCTCCGTGGAGGGCAGGGACCCAAGTCGGCGGGGCCCTGAGCCCGGGACTCCGGTGTGGGATGTGGACGTCCCGGCAGCATCTGGCCACGCCCCCATCTGTTAGAGAGGGGACGGGAGCGGGTCAGGGCCTGCAGAGACAGCAGGGCACGGAGCCCCGGGACGCAGCCTGGGGGCCGGCAGACGCCTCAGCGCGATTCCAGCTGCGGCGGGGGCGTGGGCACTCATCGTGCCCCCCAGCCCGCAGGCGTCAGAAGGACCCAGGCCTGGACGCCGACACCAGAGCCCCGGAGCCCCACGGGCTGGCTGGGCTCCCGGGGACTTCACCTTCTGTCAGTCACGCGGTCCCCGTGCCTGGGGCGACACGCGTGCTCCCGTCTTCCCACGCTCCCCAGCCATCGGGACCACGGCTCCCACGGTGCAGTTCTCAAGGCCCCAAACACACGACTTTGTGGTTACTTGTGCCCTGAGGGGCGGGGCCAGCTAGATGCCCCTCTCCAGTGGGACCGCTCGCACTCCTGGGACACACAGCTGAGACCAGGGCGGGCAGCGGCAATGCACTGGGAGAGAGGGGGACACAGGAGCCGCCCCCAGGGCAGGGGAGCCCCGTCACCACGCAGGGGGCAGCGTAAGAGGACAGAGCACGTGAGGACAGCAAAGGGGAGGAGCCCGGTGAACAAGGCAGGGGGCAAAGGTCGGCTCCAGCCTCGCCCCACCCCACCCCACCCGGCAGTGCTGGGAACCACGGCGCGGCCAGCGGTGCTCGGGACCGAGACAGAATCCGGGCCCAGAAACACGGCTACCGCGGATTACAGAGGAAGACAGGCCTGCCCAGCACCCAGCTCGCACCCGGACGGCACCAGGCTGGGGAAAACAGAGAGGTGGCCCCGACAGACGGCGCCTGCACGCACAGTCCCGCGACCCCCCCCCCCCGCCCCCGTAGGACACCTGCGCCCTCCTGAATCTGGGGGTGGAAGCCTGACCGACCGAGCTTTTCAAACAAGGGTAAAACGGACAAAGCTGGGTAAGTTCAGGAATTTTTCCAAATAAAAAAACTATTTGAGAGCGGGAACGTGCACACCTGCTGGTCCGGGCTCCAAATCCCTACAGCAGCCAGGGCCGCACCGAGGCTGAAGCCGGGCACCTCACCTGTCGCTGCCGCCACCCAGGAAGCGGGAGCTCACGGCAGACAGGCCGGGACTCAACACCACTCGCACGGGATGCCGGTGACACAGCAGAGTGACAGAGACAGAGACATCCTCTACCTCCAGGGTCACTGCCCGGATGCCAGCAACAGCTGGGACTCCATCCAGGTCCCCCACGTGGGGGCAGGGAGCCGGGCCTCAGAGGGGCGAGGGCAGACGGGGGTGGGGGCAGGGAGCCGGGCCTCAGAGGGGCGAGGGCAGACAGGGGTGGTGTGGGGGCAGGGAGCCGGGCCTCAGAGGGGCGTGGGCTCTTCCCCAGGCCCCCTGACCTGCCGGACCACAGTGCTCACTCTGCCGTTCAAATACACCGGAAAGGAAGTTGTAAACGCGAGACTGTGAAGGGACGGAGCCGCCGCACCCACGCACCCAGGGCTGAGCTCCGTGGAGCGGTGGCTTCAGTCCTGCAGCCCGGGAGGGCCCGAGGGCCTGGGCCCCTGCCACCTCCCAGGACCCGCGTGGAGTCTGGGCTCCTGCCTCTGTCCTGGCCCAGCCCTGGCCGCTGTGGCCACTCAGGCGATGAACCGGCAGATGGAAGAACTCCCGACCGCTTCACACCCGGAACCAGCCGGCGCAGGCGCAGACGAGGAGCGGAGCGGCGGGGCTGTGCGGCTGCCCACGGCTGGGCCCCATGTGCACGGTCGTGGTCTCCGGGGGTCAGCTCAGCCGGGCACCCTGGGCTTACGGCCGGGCTGTGGTCTCACCCGAGGGTCCAGCTGGGGCTGGGGGCCTGCTGGACAAAGGCCTGTCTGTTGCCCACCCCGAGGCGGCGTTCACCAACGGGGAAAAGGCGGGAGAGAGCAGCCCTCAGAGGCCAAGCCCCGCTGCCCTCTGGGGAGCCCCCGCTCCGGGGTGTGGGTGCCCACTTCACAGTGGGGCCTGGGGCGCCCAACCAAGGCGGCCTCCCCCGCTGCAGCCAGCTTACCGGAGTCAGAGCACGGCGAGCCGGCTTCTCGCTCTGGCCACAGCGAGGCAGCCGCACAGGCACCCCAGTGCCGCCTGGGGCTGCGGCCTCGCACCCTGGGGCCCCATCTGAGCTGCACCCTCTTCTGACCCAGCCCCTGCTGACACACCCGGGCTCACCCACGGAGCCAGGCTGAGGTCCAGGGTTTGCCCCGGCCCAGCCCCGGCTGCAGTGGCACCTGGGGAGTGACCGGCGAAGAAGCAGCTCTGTCCCCTGCTCTCCAGTGAGCACTAACCAGAGAGCGCGTCTGACGGCGGGCGGAGACCCAGTGGGCACCAGGACCCCGCAGGGCCGCGACGAACAGACGGCTCGGAGCCCTGCGGAAGGCCCCAGCCGCCAGGCATCCCCAGCAGCTGACACACAAGGTGGACGAGGCCGCCGGACCAGGCGCCTCCGACTCACCGGCCCTGCCAGGCCAGCTCCCCCCAGCCCGGGCCACTGCAGTCGCGCTCAGTCCAGGGTGGGTGCCGGCAGCCTCACCTGCGTGGGCACGGAACCTGCCCCAGGCTGTGACCAGGCCCCGGCCAGGGCCAGCGCGGGCTCCCCGCCCCCGGGCTTTGTGACACCGGGAGGCGCTGGGAGGGGTCAGGCTGCCCCCTGCTGCCCCGGGGAATGAACCAGTGGTGGGAGAGCGCTCTGCCCTTCACATAAACACGTATGGACGAACGTGTCCTCGGCGCCGGAACCACAGCCCCCCGCGGGCAAGCACGCGGGCCGCCCCCTGCCCAGCACCAGCAGCCCCAGCAGCCCCCGACTCCCGGCCGGGACCGCCGCAGGCGCCCGGGCAAAGCCCGCAGCAGAGGCGGCCTGCGCGCGCCCCCCTCGCGGACACCGCCCAGGCCCACGCGCGGACACGCGGGGGTGTCGACACGGCTGCCTGCGGACTCGCGGGGCCCGAGCCCGCGCAGCACTCCGGCCCCGCACCGGGAACGCACGGGCCGAGCCGCCCCGCGCGCCGAGACCCCGATGCCGGCCCGGGCGCCCCCCGCGCGGCCCCCACGACTCGCGACGGCACTGACCTGCGAGCCGGCCCGCGTCTCCGTGAGGGGCCCCGCGCGCCGCGGGCCAGAGCCCGGGACGCCGTCCGACGCGCTAGGCTGAGGGCGAGCCCCCGCGGCCGAGCCCCCGGCCGCCTGCGCGCGGCGAGCGCCCGGGTCCGGGCGGGTCCCTCGGCCTCCCCGAAGCCCGGCCTGGCCCCGCCGGGGCGCCCATGGTCGGGCCGCGGGCCGCCGACGTGGCGACGGCGCTGGGCGCCAGGGCAGCGGGGATCTGCGCGCGGCGGGAGCGGCGTGCGCCCTCTGTGGCCGGGGGCGGAAGTGACGCACCGGAAGCCGCGGCGGCTGCGGTGCGTCCGGGCCAGCGCTGCTGAGCCACAGCGCCCCCCCACGGCCGCCCCGTGGACGCTCCGGACTGTTCCATCGTGGCAGGGGCGGGGGGGACATTGCTCCCTACACCCACTCCGTGGACGCTCCGGACGTTCCATCAGGGCGAAAGCCCCCCCATGGCCGACCAGTGGCACGCTCCAGACTGTTCCATCAGGGCCGGGAAGGGGGGCACAGCGGCAGCGCACCCTCCACGGCCGCCCCGTGGCACGCTCCGGACAGTCCCATCAGGGCCGGGGCCGGGGTCGGAGCATAACAGCGCCCCCCGCAAGCCCGTCCCGTGGCACGCTCCGGGCCGTCCCATCGCGACACAGCGGGGGTCAGGCCGTCCTGCAGGGGCACCAACGTCAGCAGCGGCGCAGCTTTGGGCTGAGACAACGGAAGACCCGCCAGAGAGCCCTCAGCGGGTGGAAGACGAGGGCGCGCACTGCCCGGCCTCCCCGAGCACAGGGCCACGCCCCTTGGCACGCTGATTGGGCGATCGGGGGCGCTCCGCCCAAAGGCGGAGCCTCGGTGCGCCTGGGCCAGAGTTGGCGCTGCGCCCTGCAGGTTCCGCGGGGCTCACCACTTCCTCCTGGGAGGAGGGGTGCAGGACCGGAGGGAGGGGTCCTCTGGAGCCGGCCCCTGGGACGAGGGTGGCGTGGGAAGGAGCCGAGGTGGACCCCGCAGGGCTGGCTGCTGACAAACGGATTCAGCTCGGAAACCTGCGCCCAGTCCAGCGCCTGCCGGGGCAGGGCCTTTGAGGCTGTTGCGATGAGTGGGGCTCTGCGGCCGGGGGCTGCTGCCAGCTCTGTGCCCCTCACCCCTGGGTGCCGGCCAGGAGGGAATCCCGGAGTCACAGGCAGGGGAGTTGCTGCCAGCTCTGGGCAGACAGGTGCAGTGCAGACCTGCTGGGCTCCCCCGCCCTGGGCAGCAGGTGTGGGCACTGGCAGGGGTCGCACCTCCGAGCGACCTGATGGGGTCGCTGTGCTCACCGGCAGTGGGAGCTGCTCTGTTCCTGCCGGGGTGGGGTGGACGCCGAGAGCCTGGGGCACTGCTGCACCTGCTCACCTGCACGCGTGTCCGTGTTCTCCTACACGCGTGTCTGTGCTCCCCTACATGTGTGTCTGCGCTCACCTGCACGTCTGTGCTCCACTACACGTGTGTCCGCGTTCTCCGACACGCGTGTCTGTGCTCCCCTGCACGTGTCTGTAGGAGGCTCAGTGGGGAAGCAGCTGGAGCCTGGGGCAGACCCCGCGACCCAGCCGAGCCTGCAGACCAGCCTGGGCAGGATACTGTGTGCACCCGTGTGTGTGCACGTGGGTACATGAAAGCCCTGGCTCTACACAGACCAGCGGGGGCGGGATCCTGTGTGTGTGCACGTGTGTGCCCGTGTAAGCCCCCAGCCCCGCTCAGCTCTGCCCAGACCAGCCAGGGCAGGATCCTAGTTCTCGGAACTTTCCGGAGGGAGGGCCAGCGACGTGGGCTCTGCTTCCCTGCTGCCCCCCGACGCCTCCCTTTCCCTGCCCTGCTGGACAGACTCGGCCCACCTGGTCCCTGCACTGCCCGCCCAATCCTGTTTCCAGACCGTAGATGCCCAGGCTCAGCCTGGGTCTCCATGGGGCCAAGTCCTCCGGGCAGCAACCGCCCGGCCGCTGCCACCCCTGCACCTTCCCTGGCTCATCCGACTGCCCCCCCCCCAGCCTCCAGCCGTGGCATCCCAGTCGCTCCCAGGCAGGATGACCAGCTGGGAAGACCCAGGACAGCTGAGTGCCCAGGCCCCATCCCCTGCGCTCCCAGGTGCAGGTCTGGACACCAACAGCCTCTGCTGGGTGTGGCCCCCAGGTGGCGCTCCCGGCTACCCTGTGCTCCTCTGGCCAAGGCTAGGTGCAGGCCGTGTCCCCCACGGCCTCAGGGAGTCAAGGCCTGGCCTGTGCACTTCCTGGGGTCCCGAGGCAAGGTGGAGCCCAGCCGCGCTGTGGGGCCAGAGGGAGCAGTGATTGGTGTCACCCAGAGCAACCAGCAGAGGTGACCGCTCCCAGAGCACAGGACCCCCCGACACGCACCACTCAGGGACGGACAGCGAGGGCCCAGCGGTGGTCATCTTGACGCTGGCTGGGACACACACGCGGCACCGAGTGGCTCTGGGCCGAGGCGGCAGCAGCCAGAGCGAGGCCAAGGTGCCGGTGGCTGGCTCCCAGGGCCTCTTCCCTAGGGCCGGTGGGCATCTGCTTGGCCTACAGCTGTCCACTGACGTGGACGGGCCCAGATGCAGGAGTGGTGGCGAGGAGAGCAGGCCACCCCAGGGTGCCACGCGTCTGCCTCCCTCCCCCGCTTCTCCCAGGCATGGTCAGGCAGGCTGAGGGCCCCTCCCCCGCTGCAGAGCCGGAAGCCAGCACACGAGCCAATGGTTTTTTACAAGTGCGTTTATTGAAAGATCTGAAAATAGTAAGAATGCTTCTAGCAATATTAACAAATTTGGGGATGTTAACAACGGGACATTAGGAATTATTTCAAAGCCCAAAAGCTTTCTGGACCGGTGTGGCACGCTGCTCTCTGGGATGAGCGGCTCGACCACTCCCTCCTGGACCTGGAGCCACACAGGTGGTGTGGGGTGGACCCAGGACAGAGGGCTGCCAGGACGGCGTGGGGTCAGAGCCTCGGCGCCCATGGGGCAGCAGGGGGACCCCGGCGAGGGTCTCTGCCAGCCGGAGCCTGCAGTGCCCGTCCTGACCTGTTCCGACCAGTCCGATGAGAAAATGCAACCGTGGGGCAGACTCGGCCGCATTTGGGACGTCCACTGGGCAACCGCCACCAGGGCCCGCCCCGTGGATGCCAGCAGAGCCACGCGCCCCACGCAGGTTCCGTGTGGCCCTGCGCACTGGCATGCAGCATGTGCGTGTCCTCAGAAGGGCTGTGGGAGCGGCCACCCTGCACCGGGCAACAGGACGGCTCCTCCCCTGCAGCACGGACGTGAGCTCTCGGGAAGCCCAGCGGAACCGCCACCGGGCGGACCTGGGGCCCAGCTGTGTGGAATGTGGGGTGTCCCGCGCCCCTGCCCCCTCCCCGCCACCAGGCTCGGTGGGGGCCCCTCACCCTGACGAGCTGTGGGGAAAGCAGCGAGCCGCGGGGCCCTCGGCTGTGACGTTCATTTCCAATGCCACAGGACAGACCAAGCACCCGACCCTGAGCCTCCGGAGACGGAAAGGGCCCCCGGCAGGAGCCAGAGCCTTGTGCGGGGCGGCCGGGACCCTGCTCGGTGCGTGGACAGGAGGGCGCCAGCCCCTTCCTCACTCTGCTCATTTAGAAATGCAAAAAAAAAAAAAAAGCAGACAGACTTCCGACGCCAGCAGAGCGGCGCGGCCTAGCCCTGCGCCTCGCCCGGCTCCTCCTCCTCCTCCGGGAAGTGGGCCTGCTTCTTGCGCACGTTCCAGTGCAGACACTGGGCCAGGCTCTCGAACCAGTCGCTCACGGCGTCTCGGACGCAGATGGAGGGGAGTGGGTAGCAAGAGGTAGTGATGCTGATGCTGCAGGGACCGAGGGGACACGGCTCAGGGGAGGGGCTGCAGCTCAGGGCCGACCCCCCAGGGCCTCAGCGCGCTGCGGGACAGACACTCAGGTCTGTGTGCAGGGGACACTGCCCAGGGGTGCGGTGCCCGGAGGACGGAGGCCGGCCCCCAACTCTAGGCAGCCGGGGGGCTCTGTGAGTAGCCACAGGTAGATGCCTCATGCCCGGCGGTCACGCCTGTGCTGCAGGTGACGCACCTGGGCCAGCGGCACAGCCCCCACCCCGACAGAGGAGACGCACACCTGTCTCCGTGGCGGATCTCCTGTCTCTTCCGTCCATCAAAGGACACCCAGGCAGTATTCCTTGCTTCTGGCGACAGCGTGATCTGTCAGGGCCAAGTGGAGAGGGGTGGGCCTTGGGCGGTGGGGGAAGACCCTGCAGGACCCGCTCCCACGCATCTGCTGGGCGGCTCCACCCTGGCCCGGAGCAACTGTAGCAGGGACCTGGGGCAGGGGAGAAGGGAGGCGGCGGCCAGGGCCCAGGCGGTCTCCTCCACTGGGACCGGGCACCCGTGTGACACGGACTGCCCTCCCCGTGTGGCTGAGAGCTCGCCAAGCCCCTCCAGATCCTGCCCGGGCGCTTGGACACAGCACTCAGGCACCCCACAGGGCTCATGATCCAGGGAGCCAGGAGTCGGCCCGAGGACAAGGCCAGGGCCAGGGCTGTGGGTGTGCCCTGGGCAGCACGGCGGGGGCTCCGTGCCCATGGACATGACTCACACACGAGAGGCGGAAGGGCGCTGGCTCTGACCTGCAGCTCGACCCCCGCGGGGACCACGATGGGCCGGAAGGACAGCGAGTGAGGGCAGATGGGCGTGACCATGATGGCCGGCACGTTGGGGTGGACCATGGAGGCCCCCGCGGCGGCTGCGTACGCCGTGCTGCCCGTCGGGGTGGACACGATCACTCCTGCGGCACAGGGGCAGGCGTCAGGCTCCCACCCGCAGCACTCTGAGGCCCCGGGGACGGCGACGCGGCCTTACCGTCGCCCTGCACCGTGGTGATCAGGTGTCCGTCCAGGTAGACGTCCACATTAGACAAGTATGACGAGGGGCCTCTGTCAATCACCACCTCATTCAAGACCTGGAGGGGACGGCGCACGCTGGCAATGGGGCGGGGGCCTGCCCCCACCTCCCCCAGGCCTCGAATGAGGCCGCGGTGCAGGAGGGGCGAGGCCACAGACCTGGTACTGCACGGCCTGCTTCCCGGTGTCCGTGTCCAGGCCCGGGGCCGGCAGCCCGTTCTCACGGAGCCCGTTGTGGACGGCCGCCGCCTCGCCCCTGAGCGCCTTCACCACTCTGACCTTCAGCCGGCTCCGCAGAACCACCGCTGCATTCCCTGGGGGCCAGCGGGGTCAGCAGGGCCCACCCCGGGAGGCCAGCGGGGTCAGGGGCCCACCCCGGGAGGCCAGCGCTGCCCAGGGGCCCACCTCGGGAGGCCAGCGCTGCCCAGGGGCCCACCCCGGGGAGCCAAGACCCCCCCCCAGGCGAGAGCGACACCCCTGTGCACTTCTGCCCAACACGCTGGCCGTCAAAACCGCTCGAAGCACCCAAACACGTGCAGCGTCTGCACCTCACGCCTGTCGCACGCTGCTCTGTGGCCACGGCACTGGAAGAGCGGCCGCGCCAGGGCAGCCCCGCCAGAGCTGCGTGGTTCCGGACCCCGACTCACCCTCTATCACCTGGGCAACTTGGGACTCAAAGCTCTCAAAGTTGAATGGGGTCAGGAAGCCCAGGGAGCCCAGGTGGAACGCCATGACCGGAGGCACGCTGCCCTGCGACCGGGGAGACGGGCCACTCAGCACGGCCTGCCCTGGGCCTGGTGCTCCCTAGAGAAGGCAGGCCAGGCCAGGCCACGGAGCTCCAGAGGCCCCGGGTTCCCACTGCCCTGGCCTGGCCCCCAGCACCGCTCCTGCCTGAGGAAGTCGCCTGGGTCTGCGCCAGCACTCAGCAAGCCCCCTCTCCCGCCCACCGCTCGCTCTCCCTGCCTGGCCCTGGGGAAGGCAGAGCCCACCGGCACGGCACGGCACGCACGGTGTGCGAGCTCTCTGAACTGACCCGGACAAAGGCTGCGGCCTGCGCGAGCGGCTGCCCGCCCTCGCCCACTCACCTGGAACAGCGAGGAGGCGTATAGCAGGGTCCCGTCTCCCCCCAGGCAAATGATGAAGTCGATCTGGTTGGAAATGTCGTCGTAATCTGGGAAACAGGAAGCCAGGCGGGCTCAGACCCGCAGGGCGGCCTCCCCCGCGCCGCAGCCCGCCGGGCCTCACCCTCGCGGAAGGTGCAGCACTTCTTCTTCACTGGCCCGAAGCTCTCGTCGCTCGCGATGGCGGGGTCCTCCAGGGCCTTCTTCTCCACGTACACGACCATGTTGTTCCCCTGGAAGGCGGGCGGCCGTGAGCCTACTGCCTCGTGACGGCTTTCCCTCGGCCCAGGTCGCCCGCAACGGCTCCCTGCTGCGGGAGGCCCCCGACCCAGGCGCTCCCGGCCAGGACTGACCTGAGCTGGACGCCTGGTGCAGGGGTGCGAGTGCTCGCTCCCGCCACGCAGGCCTGAGGACGAGTGTCCCCACGGACTCATGCGGCGGCGGACAACCCCTGTGGGTGCGAGCACCCTGCCAGCCCAGCGTGAGGTGTGGACACCCCGCCCAGCTGTGCCATGACTGGTGCTAAGAGGCTGTGGAGGCGGGGCCTCTGGGAGGAGGCGGGGCCTCAGGAGGTGACTGGGATGAGATGTGGTCTCATGGCTTCCCATAAAGAGGGGACCAGAGGCCACACGACCACGCTTGCCACATGAGGCCCCGTACGGCCTCAGGACTCCGCCAGCCAGGTCATCATCAGGTACGGCCGAGGGACTGCAGGCTAGAACCGGAGGGGGGCGGCAAACCTGTTTCCATTAAAACCCAGCCCAAGTGCAGAACAGCGCTCCTGTGACAGACGGTCACGGTCAGGAGCAGCATGCGGGCTGCGGCAGAGCTGGGAGGGTCTGGGGTCGGTGGAGACCCGGGGGTGGGGAGCGGAAACAGAGGCCAGCCTGAAGGAGCCAAGTCCCTGCCCTGGACGAGGGCTCTGCACTCGGCGCTCGGCGCAGCCAGAGGCGCCTGACGGACTCGGGAAGGCTGTGTGGGTGGCGCTGCCCCCCCCAGTGCAGCCTGAGGTCAAAGGGAAGCAGAGCACGAGGACCCGGGCACCTGGCAGCCGGCCACGCAGCAGAGCGAAGGAAGCAGGTGGGTGAGGCCGAGCTGCCTCCCGCAGAGGGGTCAGCGGGTGCCAGGACGGGGAAGCCCCAGCCAGGGACCTGGGGGGCAGAACTGTTCCAGGAAGGGTCCTGGGAGACCTGCGACCCCCTCCCTGGCTCACCACCCAGAGCCACCGTGCGATGGAAACCCTGGCACTTTGCGGCCACAGCCATTCAAGCAGGCCCAGGTGGCAGCTGCACACTGGGGTCCACGTGGTGTCTGGAAGGCCAGTGCCACAGGGCCGTGGCGTGGCGGCTTCCACCACGACAGCAGGCGGCCATCCTGAGGGTGACATTTGGTGCAGCTGCAGGCGGGGCTGCGCCTGGCAGAGCTGCAGGGGCCTCCCTCGCCTCTGGGCACACAAGATGCCCAGGGCGGTGCTGGGTACAGGGTGGAGACACTGCTGGGGACACCCAGACGCTGTAGTGCAGTGCCCTCGACTCTGGCCCCCGCTTCCTGCTATCGTGCACCCCGGGAGGCGGCCGAGGGCGGTTCCGACGCTTCGGTCCACGTCCACCCAGCTGGGAGGCCCAGGGTGCGCTCCAGCTCCTGGATTGAGGCTGGTGCAGCCCTGGCTGCAGGTCGCTGAGGACCGGCAGATGCAAGACGCCTGCACAGACTGCCACCCGCAAAAAAACAAACATTCAAGAGCCGGTGAGGCCCGCCCCGCGGGGTGCTGGACCAGGACTGCGCCCTGCGCCTGTCACCTGTGTGGCCCTTGCAGGCGCACAGCTGGGAGGGAGCCGTCAGGGCATCAGAGGTGCGAGGGTGGGACCTCAGCCTGCCCGGGGCACGGGGGTGCGGCCCCCGAAGCAATCAGGCCCAGATAAAGCCGTCAGGGTGCGGCTAAGGCGAGACCAGCTGACACGGGCAGACACGGGACCCACACGAGACCCTGCACCGCCTCGGGACTCTGGCAGCAAGGCCGTCACCGGACACGGCCCTCAGAACCACAGCCAGGACACCCCTCTGCCGCAGGCTGGGCCCTCAGCGGGACGCGGCCCCCCCGCCCCGCCCCCGCGCACTCGCCTGCACCAGGTACGCGCAGAGCTCCTTGAAGGGCTGTAGCAGGCGGGCATCGCGGATCTTCTTGATGACAAGGACGCTCTTCGGGGGCTTGTTCCACGTCAACCGCTGGCTCGCAGGGTCCTGAATGTGCCTTGGGGGAGAGGAGAGGGTTCACGCCGGCCGCACACGGCCCCTCGGGCAGGACAGGACGCACGGTCCACCCCTGGACAAAGGCACTCACCGGCAGCCCCGGCAGCGCAGCCCTGGCCCGTGGGGACGGGCACGGGGTCCGGCCCAGCAGGAAGACCCTGCCTGCTCACCCCGTTCCCGTGTTCGGCCGCACCGGCCTGCAGTGACCGACGGTGCCCATCACTCACCTCGGCAGCCCCAACCCCACCAGCGCTCGCTCGTCCCTCAGCGACGCCCCGACGCCTCCTCAGGACAACTGCTCACAGAGCCCACTGAGGGGAAGCCTGGGGCTGGCCACCCCACGGCCGTCGGGGACACCGGCTCCCTGCAAACACCCGGACCAGCAGGCACGGGCCCCTCAGGACAGGCACTCCCTGCCACGCCGGAGCACGACCCTAGCTCCCTGCACTCCCACAGTGCGGACCTCTGGTTTAAAGTCGTGGCGGCGCTGCTGTGAGCGCCACGGCCCTGCCCAGCCGCCCCCGTGCCGTGAGCCCTGCCTCCCACCCCGCCGGGATCCCGCTAGCGTGCAGGTCCCGGGCACCAGGAACATGGGTGGGAGCAGCACCCGTGTCCCTGCTGTCCAGGAGCTGAGGGAGGAGGGGACTGGGGCTCCCTGTCGGGTTCAGAACAGCGGTGCAGACCGGCGAAGTTCCCTTCCCAGTGCCGTCCCGGTGGGGAGCGACAAGGACACGCCTACGGCGGCAGCACTGGCCGCATCCAGTCAATCAGTGACCATGGGACGCTGGTCCCAGCACTCACCCTGTCCAGGCGTTTCTGGGGGGTGTGCAGCCACCCATGACACCTCCGTGGGCCTCACCGTCCGCCCCGTCAGTCGCGTGGCTCGCGAGGCACTGCCCCCTTCCAGGAGACGGCCGATGTGTCCATGGCATCGTGGTCACACTTTGCTAATGACAGGTGCACGCACAGCCCTGCCACACCAGCACCTCCCGGCTGCGCATCCTACACTACCAGCCCAGCGTCTGCACCACCAGCACCGAGCGCAGCACGCTACAGAGCGAGGTCTTCTAAACACAGCCCGGCCAAGAGTCCCTGAAGTCACAAAATCCAACGAGACAGGATTCCCGCTGCTCACCGCGCCCTCCTGCCTCACCGAGGAGAGAGTGTCTGTCGGCGCTCGGCCCGCAGCTCAGAGGCCCACGTCCCGCATCAGCGAGCCGCGCTCAGTGCCAGCTCCAGCTCTGGACCCCAGCCCCCTGCTGGCCTGGACCCTGGGAGGCGCAGCGACGGCTCCCGCGACTGGGTTCCGCCATGCGCAGGGGGACCTGGACGGAGCTCCCAGCTCCCAGCTCCGGCCAGCCTGAGCCGCTGCAGGTGGAAGACCTCTCTGCTTCTCTGCCTCTCAAGTAAGTGAAAACAGACCAAGCAAGAGGCCGCAGCTGTCCTGTTCTCTGCCGCGCTCCGGGCCCAGCCGCGGCACCGAGTGTGCAGCCTCCCGGCTCTGCCAGCCTCCCTCTGGCCTGTGGAACTGGCCCGGCCCGTGGGAGGAGTTCCCAGGCCACCGGCAGGTGAAAGGGCGTTCACTCCCAGCCCTCGATCGATCTGCACTGGGCAGTGGCCTCGGGGCCTGTGGGCGGTCACAGCCCTCCGCCCAGGTCACAAGTGAAGCTCTGACCCCAGTGGACTTCCTGGGGAGGACCACCAGCCAGATCCTCTGCTTCCTGCTGGGTCATCTGAAAAGTGGGTGCTGACCCTGCCGGGCCACGGCTGTGGGAATGGGACGGGCAGAGCAGGGCCACAACGGCGTGGGCAGCTCTGTCCTGACCACTGAGATGACCTGGCAACTTCTCACAGCACAGCCAACAAAAACGCAGGTTCATGGTGAAACCTAGGTTGGTTCCCAGACCGGAAGTCCACGTTCCTCACAGCTGTCCTGCCACAGCACCGGCCTCTGCCATCAGGGAAACCACGAGGCCAGGTCCCCAGGGAGTCACTGCCACAGCCACAGAAGGCCTGGCAGGGAGCGAGGGCAGAGCAAGCCACCGGCCTGGCCGCCACGGACCCTCGGGGCAGCTCCCAGCGCCCTGTGCCTCAGCCCGAGGGATCTTGGGGGCAGGCTCCCAGGGCAGAGCCTGGCCCCAGGAGCTGAGCTGGTAAAGGCCACTTAACCCATGAAATGGTGACCAGGGAGTGCCTCTGCCCAGACCAGGAAGTGCAGGGAGGGGCAGCTCTTGGCCAGGAGCAAACATGGGAGGGTGGGGCAGCCGAGTGGCGAGCAGCTGCGGCTCTGGCCTCGGGGAGCGCTGGCCCCCAGGGACCCGCGCGGCTGCCACATGGAGCCACAGCAGATAGCTGGGAGCCGAGGTGGTGGGGCTGGCCTGCCCTCGGCACAGCCCTCCCTGGTTGGGGTCAAAATGACAGGAGCTGTGTGTGGACAGGGGCGGGGCAGCGCACAGCCTGCAGGGGGCAGCCTAACGAGCCCCCGCAAACAGCTCCCAGCCAGCCCACTGGTGAGGTCCTAACCCCGAGGAGGCACTGGGTGATGCACGGTGCTGCCCAGGGGGTCCCCAGTGCACAGCCCCAGCCCCCACTACACGTCACAGCCTCTCGCATCTCACGTGCACCTCTCTTCTCAGAGCCAGACCCGGGCACGCACAACCTCCCCATCCGTCCCCAGCTCCCTGAAGCAGGCCCTGCGGGCACGGCAGGGCTCCCGCACACAGGCCTGGAGGCCGCGGCCCCGCAGTGCCAGAGGCTCAGAGACCAGGGATCTCTCTGGAGAAAGTGCGAAGTAAAACGCTCCGAGCCGAGGTGGAACTCCAGTGTTTAAACCGTTTGGCTAGTTTTCCCCTAAACACACAAACCGCAGCGGGGCCGGGGCACAGGACGCGGGCGGAGCTGTCAGGCCCACGACAGCAGACTGGGAGAGCCACGCCAGCGGTGCCGCGACGCGGTCGAGGCCACTGACGCGAGGCCTTGGTCCGCCGAAACCCCGGGCGGCCCAGAGCGCGTGAAAGCCGCGCCCACGAGGCAGAGCGTCTCCTAAACAAGCGCGGCCAGACGGGCTCGTTCATCGGCGTCTCTCGAGCTTCAAATGACCTCAGGACAAACAGCGCCCGAGAACAGAGCGGTCAGGAACCAGGCCACGCTGGCGCTCGGCGGGTGCCGGCGCGCGCCACTCTGCAGGCACCAGGGAAGCCAGCAGGACCCGGGGACGTCGCGTGGCTTTAAGTGACTGGAAACACACTGCTCCGTCCACACCACAGCCACCCCACGACACACACCCTCCCGGGGACCCCAACTCACATGATGGTCTGGGGGTTCTGCAGCACGCAGGCCTTTGGTCCAAAAGTGGTCACTGGGCACGGGCCATGCAGAGAGCGCGTCCTTCTGCAGAGAGCACACACAGCGCAGCGCCGTCAGAACACGCGTGTGCAGCCACAGACACAGACGGGGCCACCCCAGACTCCAGGGAGCACCAGCGCCAGCCCTGGAGCCCCAGGCTCCTCAGCGCGGCGGGAGACACTCCCAGCCCAGACGGGGGAGACGCCGGCTCTGAGATGGGCCTGGGGGTCTGCATTCCTGGGGGTGTCCCAGAACCTGTCTCCTGGTCACTATTTGGGAATCGAGAGGTCAGAACCTACTCCCAGGTGGCCTGGGGAGGGGGAGGTGTCGGAATGGGGGTCACAGCGCCTGGGTTTCAGTCCTGGCTCCCCTTCTGCTCACTCCCTGGGAGGCAGCAGCAGATGACTCGAGCCCCTGCACCCCTGACACCCACATGGGAGACCCGGACAGCAGCTGCTGCGGGCATCCGAGGAGAGAATCAGAGGACGGCACATCGCTCTGCCCACCGCTGTGTGTTTCTGTTTGCCTTTCAAATACATACATTTAAAAACAAATTTAATGTTAACAAAAACATTTACCCTGAACTATACGAAGAGCCCAACTTTTCCAACAAATGAAAAGTGACTGACTCATGGCATCCTGGGAAAAGGCCCTGGGCTGGTGCTCCTGCCTTTACCGGGGTCAATGGGCTGAGGCGACACCTGTGACCTCCTGACCACGGGAGCAGGACGCTCCGGGGCCACTGGACGTGATGGCCAGCAGGGAGCCGCCCGCTGCTCTCTGTCTTCAACCACTGCCAGCGTCCCAGTGTCTACGCTGGAGAGCGGGCGTCTGGTGGCTGTGGCACACCTGGGGCCTTTCTGCACCGAGCGTGCTCTGGGCTTGCTTACGTACGTCTTCTAAAGATGATTAAGTGTATTGCAAAACCCAGACTGGACTCAGGAACTCAAAAGGCAACCAGAAACCAGGTGTGCGGCTCCTCCACTCGCCATGGGCGCCTTGGGGGCGTGGCTCCCCTCCCCCGCCTCACTCAGGGCCCTCCAGAGCCTGCCTCTGACCGCTGACCGCTGTCTGTATCCCCAGGTCCAGGGTCCTGACAGGAAGGCTGCACGGAGCCAACAAACTTACAGAAACCGAAAGCAAAAAGCTCTGTCGGGCACCGCCACGGCCTGGAGGCACCAGGGACCGAGTGACAACTCCACAGCGGCTGCTCTGGGCAAGCCGTGCCCACGCCGCCAGGGCCCTCACCAGTGACGGGGTGCTGCTGCCCACCAAGTTCATCTGGTCCCCAAACATGGCCTGCTTTCAAAACCACTTTCCAGGGCTGGGGTCGTGGCACAGCAGGTCAGCTGTTACCTGCGATGCCGGCTCCCATATCAAAAGCACCGGTTCAAATCCCGGCTGCTCTGCTTCTGATCCAGCTCCCTAGTAATGCGCCCGGGAAGGCAGTGGATGATGGCCAAGTGTCTGGGCCCCTGCCGCCCACCCATGTGGGAGCCCAGGCTGGAGTTCCAGGCGCTGGCTGTGGCCTCCCCCGGCCCTAGCTGTTGCGGCTACTTGGGCAGTGACCTCGAAAACAGATGTCTTCCTCAGCCTTCCAAAAAAATCTTTAAAAACAAACAATAAAACAAAAACAACAACCATTCTCCACCGAAGAACTCTCCCTTGGCTGGCACGGGCGTGAGCCCTCCTTGAGGGCACCGCCTGGCGAGCTCAGTGCCGCCACCGCCACCGTCACCGCCGCGTGCCTGTCAGGCCTCCCGGACACGAGGTCTGGCTGCTGTTGCCCAAGCGCCATTGAGCAAGAGCAGTGCCGCGGCCCACGGAGGGGCAGGCGGGCAGAGGGCACACACGTGACGGGCCCTGCCCAGGCATGCCCTCCGGCCCTCGCCTCTCTGAAGGGCCAGGAACACAGAGGTCTCCTCACCAAGTCTAATACTGAAAGGCAGTGTGGGGGCGGTGCTGTGAGGCAGTCGGCTGGGCCTCCACCTGCAGTGCCAGCCCCCACATGGGCACTGGTTCCAGTCCTGGCTGGTCCACTTCCCATCCAGCTCCCCGCTATGGCCTGGGAGAACCGTGGAAGATGGCCCAAGTGCTCAGGCCCCTGCTCCCAGGTGGGAGACCCGGAGGAAGCACTGGACCGGCTCAGTTCCGGCTCTTGTGGCCACTGGGGACTGAACCAGCAGATGGAAGACCTCTCTCTCTCTCTCTACCTGACACTAAAAAAGAACGAGCGAGCGAGAGAATCGGTGTGGGCTGAGCTGGGTGGTCTGGGCCAACTCGGGAGGTGGCCACCCAGGTCCACCTTCTGGACAGAAACCACACCAGTAACACCGGTCGGCCTCAATATTTAATTCTCAAGGATTCTTCGTGACCATATTAATAAATCACATCACGAACGGGAGGGGAAGAGGCCTCGCGCCCATACCTGAACTCCTTGGTGCTGCCCGAGGCGGGCGAGGCCGACAGGCTGCGTGACTTGGCCCGGCCCCGGATGGGGGGGCCGTCGCCCCAGGTCTCATCGCCGTGGCACGCCGAGCAGCGGTAGGCGGCGGAGTCTGGACTTAGCTCCTTGTTTGTGTTCATGTTTTCTTGTTCCGTTTCTGTAGCCGCTAAGCAATAACTTTGGACAGAAAAACACTGATGTCTTATTTAATAAACTAACAAACACAGATACACAAAACAGCGATAAAGCACACACATTAGGGGAAAGCTGCTGATGTCCGATTTACCCAAGTTTTTTGAAAACAGGCTGTCTCCACCCCAAAGAGGACAAAGACCTCAGCCATGAACCTGGGGCTTCTGGAAGGGTCTGGAGCCCTAGAAGCCGAGGAGTGAGAGGAGCGCCGGGGGCGGAGCTGTGGCGCTGCTGGCACACAGCAGCCCCGGGGTCAGTGCCGGGGCAGGACATGGCGCCCTGCACGGCGCCCGTCAGTCCAGGAGAGCCTGCACAGGCTACGTTTAAGTTCAGCACTCAGGAAACGATCACCAAGGCCGACCTACACTGAAGCCAGGGCGGGCCTCAAATTCCAAAAGAGGAGAAGGGAGAGAAGCTCCTCTCTGCCACAACACAGCAGAACCCAGAACCCAGAAACGGGGCCGGCGCTGGGCGCAGTGGGCAAAGCCGCTGCCTGCAGTGCCGGCATCCCATGGGCACCAGTTCCAGTCCCGGCTGCTCCACTTCCCATCCAGCTCTGTGCTGTGGCCTGGGACAGCAGTGGAGGACGGCCCAGGTCCTCGGGCCCCTGCACCCGCGTGGGAGCCCTGGAGGAAGCTCCTGGCTCCAGCCTGGCCCAGCCCTGGCTGTTGTGCTCATGTGGGGAGTGAACCAGCAGATGGGACATCCCCCCCCATAACTCTTTCAAAATAAGTAAATAAATCTTTTTAAAAAATACACACACACACAAGAATAAAAGTGTGACAAAGCCGTGCGGCCCCCACACTCCCACCACAGGGGTTCTGAACTCGCTCCCGACCCTGGCGAGGGCTGACGGCGAACCTCAGAGCCAGTCCACAGAGCACCCGGAAGGTGAGGGCGATGCCGACCCGGAGCCAAAGTCTACTCGCGGTTAACGCCAGGCTCAAAGTCCCAAGAACAAAAGTGGTGAGCTATACGCCCGCCGGCTGTGCCGCAGCGCGGCCTGGGCTCCGTGCCTGAGCTGCGGCAGAGCCCCTGAGGGTCCAGATCCCGGCTCTGGCCCACCCCGCCCGGCCCCAGCTGTTCGGGAGTGAACCAGCAGATGGAAGATCTGTCACCACATCTCTCGAATAAATAAATAAAATCTTGGAGGACAGCAC